ACGACGACGACAACCACAACCACAACCACAACCACAACCACAACAACAACCACAACAACAACAACAACAACAGTAGTAGTAACAGCAACTGCAACAGCAACAGCACCGTAACAATACTACGATAAACTACTACTACTACTACTACTACTACTACTACTACCACCACCGCCACCACTACGAACAATAGTAGTAACAATCATCATAATCATAATACCAATAAAAATAATAGTAATAGCTGTGACAGTAATGAAACAAACAGTAATGATAGTAACAATACTATTTTTTATATACTAATAGTAATAGGTATAGTAATTTTAATCGTATTGAAAACAAAACCAACAAGCAACTATACTAATCATAGCAATGATAACAATAGTAATAGCTTCGAATAGTGACACTAGTAATCATACTAGTAATGATACGAAGTGTCCCAATCATACTTGTTATACTCATAATCGAAAAATAATCATAGTACTTACCATTATAACTAATCAGAATAATGCTCATGAGAATGCTCATAGTAATGATCACACTCATAATTAACAACAAATGCAACAAATAGAAAACACTTACAATATGATTGATACTACCGAAATTCTAACAGTGATAACACAATAATGAGAGTAACAGTAATCATGGTAAGAAGAACAAGTATGGCAACACAATTAAATAACTAGTTCGGTACACTCCACCAGGCTATGAAAACATGTCACAATCCCAATGGCATATCCGTTTGATACTATGGATGCAAGAGTACCAAGATTTTGGAACGTGCAGTTTCGCGCCATCGGGACCACGCTTCGTGCCACCATGCTAGCTTATGGCGCCTGGAAAGAACAACCTTCATGATGGCTATCGGGCATGCGACGCCCCGGATGTTGAAATCAGAAGTCTGATAATCCTGGAACTCCGAGGCTGGAGCCTAGGACTGATCGGGCACCCTTCCCTCCCTCTGAAATCGGACATCTTGGAATTTAATCTTAAACTCCGAGGATGGAAGCCGGAACTCCTGCGGCGCCCATTGCTTAACAATCAGAACTCCATTCCTTCAACTTCGATGGTGCAGCCTGATGGAGCCGACTGGTGGAGCGCCCATGATTGCAAACTGAGAACCCTTAAGCACCTTGAGCTCCTTGGGAAACGAAATGTACGTGTGTGCGGCCGCACATTTCGTCTTGATCGTCTTCGGAACACTTAGACTTGGTCTACGCGGGAGAGAGGGGAGGGGTGGCCAGCGGCAGCGGAAAGGAGCCGGGAGACGAAGGGAGACGAAGGGAACAGCGAATTTATGATTCTGATCCTTTTGGGACAAAGATATCAGACTCATGCTTTCTGCAAAGGGTCACCATGGACTCGCTTAAGATTCTGCAGGCGCTTCCGGCAAGTGGCACGTCGAAGTTCCTCTGTGACATGACCCGGGCCCGCATCTCGTGCTTGTTTTCCGGACTGGCTTTCCTACTTGCATTGCGCACCTTGCTTGAGCCGCCAATACACCGCCGATGACAGGCAAGCTTCAAACAAAGCCAAAGCCGAAACTGCAGATTGACCTCCTCCTTGACATAGGCTTCGTACTCCTGGAGCCGAAACGCTCTCAACGGGAACAGCTCTCAGCCCTCAAAGAAAGTGCCTTCTTGGTGCGCTTCGCCGCACCAACCTGTCGTCAAAGTCGAGCAACACGCAGACGACTTCGGCCATCGGCCATCCTTGATCTGCAGCTGCTTGAGAGCTGGGTCCGTCATTGCGCCGGAAAAGGTTGGTCAGGAATAGAGTGCCTATGCCGTTGAAGTGGCCCAGGAGACTAGCTGATCATTTATGTGCAGTGGCAGGGCCTGCAGTCTGCTCAACCTAATTGCAAGCCGCCGCTGGTGCCGCTTGCTGAATTGCGGCTGTGTCATGTGTGCATGAGAAAGCCTTGTGCATCGTGAAACGGCCTTGCGCTACAGGACGACAGTTTGCGTGGGATGCGGTGGCTTTCCAGTACATTCAATCTGATTCTCACCCGGCTGCAACATAGGTCCATGAAGCTTCCGAAGTGTCACAGCATGCAATGCACGTTGCTAGAATTGAACTGTCAAACATATCTTTCAATTCGCCAACGATCGGCACTTCTCTTGTCGGCAGGTCGTGCCCGTTGCAGGCCGACCACTTCAAAACTTGAATCGATGAGCGCAGGGTTTGCGCTCGCCGGCGCCTCCAGAGGCCCTTGGCTTTTTCGCGTCAATACGAGGGCTGCCTGGCATGAAAAAAAGCCGCCGGAGAGATGCTGCGACACGCTGCAGATCTCAGAGTTGCTCCAGTGCGGCGCGGCCATGGGCCACATCAAGTGCCACTGACCTCACTAGCTCTCGTGCGCATCCTCGCGGCCGCGGGCCTGGATCCTGGCAACAGGACGTAAGGAGTCAGGAGGAGGCAGAATGCAGCCGGCCGTTCAAACCCGGGTGCCCGGCAGCTTCGCGATGAGCCCCGTCCAGCCCGTCTGATGCGAGGATCCCACGCCACGACCATTCTCCCCATGGAAGTACCTCTAATGAGGGCAATGGGGCCAAGTGCAGCAGGGCAGCACTCATGGCATTGGCTTGCGGTTTTCGGGGCACTCGTAGAAAAGAAGGTTTTGGTCGAAGTGCTCCTCCTTCATCTTCGGATGCAGCCGCATGCCTGGCCGATGGCCGTCCTGCATGGCGGGGCCAGCCGGTGCTTCGGAGGCTTCCAGCGACAAAGCCACGCTGTCACGCCCTTGGCTATATGACAAATACATCCTCAGCTTTCAAGAAGATCTTGATGAGCCGCTCGGACAGCTCGTCAGCAATCTTCAAGATGCTCATCTGGGAACTACAGCGGCTTGTGGTTTTCTTGAGGTGCGAGTGGCAAGAGGACTTCTGCCTTGTTGCCGGAGCCAGTGGGGCACTCGACAAGATAATCGTCCCCGTAGTATTGGTGGAACCTTCGGAACCAGGCCAGGCTTTTAGGCTAGGCCAGGCTAGCGCGAAGCCATTGTCTGGCCCTGCTGGGGCCGGGGCTTCTGCAGGGACTCGATAAGGAGGTAGTTGATCGGAAACCTTAAAGGAATTAGCAAGAATAACAACACCGTGGACCAGTGGAGGATGGCTAGGTTTGCCTGGGTGAAGCACCAGACAGGACCTCTCCAGTTGGAGTTGCCGCCCATGATGATCACTGTGGCCTTTCCGGTAAGCACTGGGCCGCGGGAGGGGAGGAGACTTCCGCCTCAGCAGGAGCATAGCGTAGCGGGGGCCCATCACCGAAGGCGTAAGGGTTCTGGTCGTGGAACTTCGAGAGGCCCTCGGCTCGGCGCTTCGGCGATGCTCGGCGGCCCTGGCTCTCTGGCTCTGGGACGGAGATGAACAATCTCCGAAAGTTTTTGCTGCGTGGAATCGATTCGGGGCCTTTGGCCATGGGGCCAGCTGTCACTGGCCGTGCAGCAAGCTGTGCCCCTAGGTCGTGCATCTAATTCTGCCCCGCTGAGCTGAGCATGCGGAAAACTCTGACAGAGATTGGCGGCAAAAGGCACACAAGCAGCTGACTCTACCAGTCTCTGCCCGTCGGAGCTCAACAGGACATGACATCTCCCGTCTCAAGTGGCGGACACTAGCCCAATGCACTTGAAAACGCCTTCCGGGGTGATCTCTTTGGTCACCGCCCGCTGGATCGCGGTGAAGAGCGGAAACTTGCTCTCAAGACCCCGCTTCTCGATCATTGCCCAGACCTCAGAAGCTGAAGAAAAGGCAGAAGGCCGAAGGGCTCAAAAGCCACAAAGCAGCTCCGCCGCAGCTACGCCGCACGCTTGGGGCCGGGCGTCCTTGCAGGTGCTCGGCCCCTGGAGCTTCTGGCCCTGGAGGAGCTCCGCCTCGATGTCTTCCCAACTCTTCGTCGGAGACATTGCGAAGGCCTCGGCCTGAGCTTACAAAACAGCCAGCGTTTTGAAAGCGCACTCTCGATGTCTTCCCTTCCTTCGGCTGCGGCCGAAGGGCGCACATGCGGTTTCGACCGCTGTAGGAAGTCGTCAGCAAATCAGCCAACCCACAGCTCTCCAGCAGCGTGTCTGGCGAGGAGCTGGGATAGAGCTCCTGCCCACACATGCAGTCCAAGAGCTCATTGCAAGAGCAGTTCTTAAAACCACACCTCCTCCCAAATGGACCCTTGAAAGCAGAGTGACACGAAGGACCGGAGAAGCATCCCAACACACCAAAAGACCATGAAGCCTGGCCTTGATGAGCCGGGCCATTTCTTGCAGTCCGCGCCGCAGGATAGCTGCTTTGGTGTTAGGCGGGAAGCCGAGCCCATCCTGACTCTCTACTCTGCGCCCACCGCAAGGCTTGGCCATGTGTGGCCATCCGCTGAAATAGAATCCCAAGGTTCGGAGAAGCCCGCAGCCAGGGCGACCACGTTCTTCAGACCCCCAAAAAGCTCCACTCCCAACCTTAGTGACTTAGTGCAGGAAGGACTTAGCAATGTCTACGCTACCCTCTTGGAAAAAAGAAAACGCTGCATGTGAGACGACTGCAAACATCACTCACCGCATCTGCAAGACGTGCTTCTGTGATGCTTGCTGGCGGACGGCTTCGTGCAACAAACTGAGATTAAAGAGCTACAGCTACACAGCTCCGGAGGCCTGTCAGGAGTGGTGCGCACGCTGAACTGTGGCGTATTGAGCAGGTTCCAAAGCACCTGTGAAAACGACTTTAACTGAGCCATGCATTGGGCATAGGTTCTGTCAAGTCAGCTTCCCTTCGAATCCCGTGAAAGCTTTCGCCTGGGACTGGTCGCTTGTGCAGCCAAGGGTGGCCTCGAAACACGCTACCGTAACACTGTACGCCTCGATTCAATCGCGCCTGAACACTGTCACTCTTCGGCCTCTGCAAAATGGTCGTGGGCCACATCGGTGGCCACATTGGCACCGTTTAAAACGGCACAGGGAATGTCAAGCTCAGCCTCGATGAGTTGTGTTCCGGTGGTCAACGAACCTGTTTGTCGATCGATCTCCAGGTAGCCTGCGTCAGGACAACACTGCATCTCGATCTTGAAATTCAACTCCAATGTCGGAATCTTCGCGAAAGGAAGGCTTCTGATTTTTCTTGGCTTATGAGGGGGGGTTCTTCGATGGCTTCGTGGGGGCTTCTTGTTCTGTTTGGATGGCCGCTTGATGGAACCGGGCTGCCTTTGACCAATGAGACACCCACAGCATCCGCGAGCACGGCACCCTTGATGGACTTCAACAATCCAGGCAAGAATTGGTGCGGCAGTACGAAGACCAGAATGTGAGCGTCCCGGACACAAGTCTTTACATCGGACTCGGCATGCCTCGGCTCGGACAGGATTCAACAAACCCTGAGGATTCAAGAATGCCGAGTGATGACAGGTGGCAGGTTGTGCGGCAACTCAACTCCTGGAAGGTATTTCACGTTCTCGTGCTCTTCGTTGATAATGTCAGTGAGCTTGCGGCCTTCGACCATTTCCTTATTGCTCGACTGGTCACATCTACAGCATGAAGCACTGCAAGTCGTAGCCGTCGTAGCCCATAGCGAGGAGCAATTCACTACAGTCAGAGGCAAGCTTCTTCGTAAACCCACATGGCCACATCTTTCTGGAACTCGGTACGCCTCAGCGCGTTGCGAGCGATGATCTTGGCAATAGCGCAGCCCCAGTTGCCGGAGCCGAGCACAGCCACCTGGAGGGAAACTTCTGTGAAAGCAGAGTACTCTTCCATGCCATAGGTAAGTTTAACTCATTAACTCACTTAGGCCACAAGGCGGCCTTTGCCCTGGGCATCCCTGGGTCCTGGCCTTCAGGGCTTTCGAAGCGCGAACCCTTGGAATCGCCATCTCCGTCAGCGACTCTGGCGCTGCCCTCGAAGCAGAGATCTCGTCCACGCGCGCCAGGAATGGGAAGTCGCTTTCAGCACGATGCGACCTGACGAAGGCTGCGCACGTCCGCAGCACGGCGATGCCCGCTGGCTCCCCACTCCGCAGCTTCTCTCGAGCGACCTGCCGCTTCCACGAGCACTGCAGCGCACTGCAATTCCTTCTCTAAGGGGAGAGTTTTACAGGCTCTGACATAAAACCTTAAGAGCTGCCTCTTCAGGTTTGCACTCTCACGCTGTTGCTTGCTCTAGGATGCTAGGCGCTGCTAGGCCCTGTCCGTCCTGGTCCCAGCCCTTCTGCGGCTCCCGGGCGAAGGCCTCCGCACAGCGCCTGGAAGCGAGGCAAGGCACTACAGGGCACTGCAGGTCACGGCACACCAGACCCCCAGCAGCCGCGCACCTCGTCCGCGAGTCCCCATAGCTGGATGCAATGATGTCCTCAAGGCATGAGCTCTCTCGATACAAAATGAATTGCCGCCTGTATCAACACAGTAATTCCTGTGCCTACCCATGTTGCAGCCCCGAAGCCGTTATGCCGCACGCTTCTGTAAGGGCTTCCTGTCAGCAGCGCATGCTCAGGCCATACTTCTTCCATCCTCTTCCCATGCTCCCACGGCCCCCTGCAGCGCCTTTGATGCCTCCTCCGGGTAGAATCGCCTGGCAAACTTTGCCAGCTCCACTGCACCAAGGCCTCATTTGCAAGGGATGTCGACCGTCCACTCCCGCGACCCCAAGAATTTCAGCAGAAGTGTTGTATCGGCTGTGGCCAGGGGACGGATGATTGCTGCCTTGGAGTTGTGACCCAACTCGAGGCCGTCGCAGAACCCTGAGAACGTGTACATTGCACAACGCTGCCGAGCCATTTAGGCCATTTAGGAACCAGAACAAGGGGGGCCCAGGGGGCCCAGCCTGCGCCCACGGCAATGATGGCCTTCAAGACCGCAAAAAGCTCCACGGCCTTGCTCGGTTTCGCGGGAGATGAACAGACCGTCCAGAGTCAAAGGCCAAGAAGCCATCGGGCTGGGTAGGCTGCTGACCTTAGATCATCAAAGGGCACGCAAAGAGACGCGATGGTGCGGTTCACGTACAGCATACAGCTATATACTTACACGGAATGATACTCATATTTTGACAGTGGCAGCAGTCATGACTAATGTTTTGGATTGATTGGAGCTGAGCTGTTGCTTGCAGTTCGCGCTATGTACAGCTGCATAAGTACAGCAGATTTCTGCCAAAGCGCCGAGAAATTCGGCTTGTTGAAAAGCTCGAGCAAGACCTCGCTCACCTGACCAGACGCATCGCAAGGTCAAACACATATTGAACACCCATCCCCTGCATATCCCTGCATCATACATCTTCATCTTCACCAGACTTCAAAAACACAAGCCGTGCTGCGACGGTGGCTTCGACATTGTTTGGCCCATGCGAAAGTACAAGAGCTATGCTGCAACAGCCCTTTGCGACTACTCCCATGCCCATGCGCTTGCCTTTGCCACATCTCTGCCAGAAGACAGAAAGACTACGGCTACGCTCTAGATCGCTATGCCGCTAGGCCCCGGGCCTTTGGGTCCTTGCAGCCCAGAGTGGCCTCCGCAAAGTACCTCGGAAGACGAAAGATCCGATTGTCGGCCACCAAGGGTCGCAATCAGAGAGGTTTTTAAGATGTCATGTGACCCACGAGCAACGTCCGCAGCCAGCGTCCCACCCATCAGCACGGCTGCAGGAATTCCTCGGCATCTTGGCGCTTCACACAGTGACAGGAACCCTCAGGTCTGCGCCGCAAAGGCACCCAGTGCTTTGCTCACGAACTCGCTCCCGAAGTGGAGCCCAGAGCCCTTGTCGCTCTTCTCCTTCGAAAGCGGTTCCGGCATGAGGATTTTCGACATCACCTCAGCGCGGCGCAGAACTGCAAGGGCGCCACCGGTCGCTGGAGATCATTACTATCACTAACATGTTGAGCTATGTTGAGCTTGAGCCGCAACGGCAGTTGCTGTGCTTTTGACCTTTCCCTTGAGCTGCTCGACAACCTCCGCCATGTTCTCCCTCGCGACCACCAAAATCAACAAGTCCGCTCCCGCAGCGGCCTGACAAGTCCCTCTCTCCCTCCGCATCTCACTGCATCTCACTGTTCTCCGCGCGTTCCCACTGGGCACCTCCGCAGCGTCGGCCGTGGCTCTGACGTTTTTTGGCAGCCGCAGGCCGGGCAAATTTGCCTCATCGAAGCCAGTCGCACTGATCTCAGATGCCATCAAAGAAGACGGCACCCACATGGCCAAAGGCTCCTACATCGAAGGCGATAAGCAAGCGCAAGCAAAAACTAAGCGCACAACGAGCAAACACACACACACACACACCCACACAAATCACGATGCAGCTACAGGAACTCAGTCCCCCCGACCGTTCGACTCGGTGTGTGGCTTTGTGCCTTTGCAAACCCTCGCCCTTATGCCCGCGCAGGGTCTGGCCTACACGGCTAACAGACTGATGCCACCAGATGTCCAGGAACTACTGCGGCTGGGATTTGCCCTGCTTGACCTGGATGAGCATCGACCACATCGAGCACGGATGCATGCTGAGCACGTAGATGTAGCATTCGCACAGCCGGACCACGGTGTCTGACTTACGTGTCACGCAAGATTCTGACAACTCTGCGCACCACAAAAGACAAAGGAGAAACACACACACAAACACACACACACACACACCCACACCCACACCCACACCCACACCCACACCCACACCCACACCCACACCCACACCCACACCCACCCACGCACCCACCCACACAC